TCGTGAAAGTTTAGGAGACACACTTAAATCCCTTGTAGCACAAGATCTGGGCATGGACTTCTCATCATTTTCAACATTCTCCTGTTTATTTTTATGTTGGCAACCAACCCCTTTGAATATTTTTCAATGGAAGATGAAAGAGAGAAAAAGATTCATTTGACTAGCCCTCAACAAACAAGTTGAGAGGCTGAAGGCCTCTATGTATTTGGTGGAACTGAGAGACCAAGTTAAAAATCCTGAACCTCTATCTAAATCAACCAGTAAGCTTAAACATGGGGGTTTATAGTTTACATTTTATTATTTTTATTTCCTATGACCCTTGTATCAAGTGCTTTGAGTTGGATTGCTCTCCCCAGTTTTATCAAGAAATTCTTGTCTCTAGGTCTACAATGTCTTTCTTCATGAAGAAAATTTCACTAATTAAAAAATAAAGTTGATTTCGAGGAAAAGCCATTCAGTTAGAAAACCTCAAGAAAGTCTGCTGCACTGACCTCCTGAGGATGCTTGGACCTGCGGTTAACCCAATATATTAACCTGAGCTAGGATCCATGATTCTCTTCCCCTCTTTTTTATGCACAGTATCAGTTACTGAGCATTTCTAGAGAGATCCAGGCATAACATCCCATTGTAGTAATGGTGCTCAAGAATGTAACACATAGCCTGTGTTTCTGCTGGGCCAATAACATTTCCTCTGCTGCCCTGCAAATGGTTACCTTCAAAGAATCCTAATCCCTTATAATCGAGGTGGATGAGCACAGTCAGTTCCCAGAATCACCAGCACTATAATTAACATAAGCAAAATGCTTTCTTTCAAAATGCAATCTCTGCAGAAAGCACTAGAACAAAGAGCGTAACAGTCGGAGGATTACCAAATAGTGCAAATCAGCAAGATGATAATGTTTTTGCTATTTTGCTATATAGCCTTTATGAATGGAAGATTTTATTATCCAGTCAGGAATGACTAAGACATCATTTAAAAGAACAACAACTAAAAAAGCATTTTATGTTACTTTCCTGGAATTGAATCCTTAAAGATTTCTTTAAAGTTTTCATAAGAAGAGAATAGATCAAAGTCCTCCAGATTCCTCAGGTTCTGTGGAACATCATTCCAGATCAAGTTCTGCAGTCTTAATTTTGCTTTAAGGCCTGAAACTAAACTTTGAAGGGGCAGAAACTAAAAATGCCAAGCAGTGATATAAGGAATACTCGGAACCTGTTTAAAAAGAAATTTCAACCTAAGTCAAAGTTGAACTGGAAAAGGAATACGTTCCTTTCCTAAAGAGCAGTACTTTGATGAAGAGGACTGTGTTAGCTCCATTATCAGCTTGTCTTATCTGAAGATATAGATGCCTCCACTTTTGCATAATAATCACATTAGTTCAGCCCTGCTATCCCCTCAGCCTAGTATCCTGTCAAGTTGCAGACCCTTAAAAGTATGAAAACCACAAAGGAGCAAAGGAAAGAAAATTAGAAAACAGAACAAATCAGTCCTGCTGACCTACACCAATCACCCCAGCTTCCAGTCATCACTGGCTTAGGGACTCAGTGTGCTAGAGGTTTACCAGCCTGCAGTGGATCCATTCTCCATGGATTTATATAAATCCCATTTATATCTCTTGTCTGCACAATACTGTGCTACAGTGAATTTCACAATTGTGTTTTGACCTGAAAAAATAAAAATACTTTCTTTGTTTTGAAACCACTGACTTATAATTTCATTAGACCTTGTATGATGAAGTACAACATTTCTTTTCCAATATTAGTCATGTCTTCATGTAAAATCATGCTGAAATGTTCCAGTTAATTCTGTGCTTCCTTGCAGGTTCCACACCTCTGACAGCCATTACTGCCTTTCTCTGAGAACTTCCTGGTTCTACCATGTCAGTTTTGAGATGAAATGATGATAACTGAAGGCAATGAGAAGTCCAGGCATTTACAGAGAAACATAATGTTTTGTGCTTGTTCTCAATTCCTTTACTAACACTTTATTTGCCTTCCTGCCTGGCAGCGATCATTACAATGTCTTCCGAGAAACAGCCAGAATTATTCTGAGATCAAGTGGCTAAATGAGAGCCTGTGATGTGTATATTTGGTTATTTTCTCTTAGTGTGAATTACTGTGCATTTATTGACGCTCAAGTTTCATCTGCATTGTATCAGTCAGTCCTACTTCTGTTGTATCTTTTCCTTTCCATTCATTTTTACCTCAGCTAACAGTTCAAAGTATGGAAAGAACAATCCCCGGTACAAACATCACTGATAGCGTTGACTGGTAGCCCCCAATCATTAGTGAAACGCTTTGATGCTGCCCTGCCAGACCACGAGGTGTAAGCCCAGACTAACGCCCTGTTGTGCTGGCAGGAAAAGACAAAAATCAAACTGAGCCAGGATGGATCCAAACGCTGGTGCGTATGTGTATACTGCCTGTCTGCCTATGTGACTAGATGGCCGATATATGATTTCAGAAGACTTTTTCCCCCTGAAATGTAGAGGCTACTCTCCATCTTTTGTTTACAAGCTTAGCAAGAATCCTTTCGTTTGCCCAGCATACCATTACACATTCACAAAGCAGTTGATGCAGAGCCAGATACGAATGCATACATAAAAATGCAAAGCAGTGTGGTATTTGCCCACACTCAAATGTCCACCTTTTTGCATTTTTACAGTCAATACCAGAACATGCCAGCACTGCAGTGCCAGAAATAATATTTGCCAACAGCACTGCCTGTGAAAGAAAACTATCAAAGAAAAGCTTTGATTTTAGTGACTTAAGGGCAAGCAAAAGAGATTGCATTATCTAGTGAAAACTAACGGTGAATTTTAGGGAAACAGTTGTATTCTGTTCATAAAAGATACCAGAAACTCATGATCACTACTGACCATAAAAACGTTATTTGTTAGGGCATTAAAATATGCCATTTAGTTTTAATGCTCTGCCTAAAGTATTTTCAGCTCATTTACCAAAAGTTGTCTTTTTGGGAAAAAAAAAAAAGAAGAAATCAATTAAGCAGAGCTTTTAAAAGAAATTGTAGAAGGCAATGATGTTCTACAGGTTACTGTAATAATGTACTCAGATTTACTGCTATAAGCATCTCCTTGATATTGTGTAAAGGTTAAGCAGACATGTATCCTCTTGCTAGGATTGGATGTTACAGAAAGACTACCGATCAGCATCACACTGGAGGAGCCTTTGATCAAAAAAAAAAAATATTTAAAAAAGTAAGTACAAATATGCAATGTGACAAGCACTTCCTCCTGTGGAACAGTACTCAAAAAGCAATGAAACCCTACTTTCCCCAGGCAGTGGTAGAGAACGTGGACAAAGATTTGTGGAAAAGAAGTTGCTGCACTTGAGACCAACAAGACACCGTAACTTTCAATTGCTAGGACAGGAACAATTGATAGATATACACACAATAAATGAAGATGAGACAAAGTTGCTTCTGAATAAATCTTTTAAAAGTCTCCTTTAAAAAACCCCACAACCACTCAGAGGCAACTTCTGGGAGGTATCTCTCTGATAGTCAAGCATGACAACAGGAGTTGTTTGATTTCTTCATTATGTATCTCTGATAGTCAAGCATGACAACAACAGGAGTTGTTTGATTTCTTCATTATAGCTGTCAGGCTTATATCATAGTCACAATAGTCTGGTGACTTTACAATACTGGCAGAATTTACGATGAAAATAATTTGGATCTTATGGTAAGAAATAGAGAAGGTCAAAAAAAGACTCAGAGCTAACAGATGCAGGTAAGATGCACAGAAGTGAGTTCAACAGGATGACAGAATACGCAATGAAAGCTATTTACTACAGAATATCTTACATACTTTCAAGAGTTCAGTCAGAAAAAGTTGTTTCAAAATGAGCCCAATTTTAACCCTAAATACCAATGCTAAACTGCTGCATTACATACTCTTCAAGAGTATTAAAGAGTAGCTTGTTTATCATGCAACTTGGAGCCCTTTTTTGCAGTCTATGTGTGCAAGGATGAGAGAGTTTCTGCTGATGTGCTCCTTTAGCCATGCAAATCCTCCAGACAGAAGAGAGACTTAAGTGAATTAGCCATGCCAGTATTTTAATACTCGTGTCCATTAAAGGATGAAGAATTCAAGCTGCCCAGCTGAGAAGATAATGTAGCTGCAATATCATCACTGTTACATCACAGCAGAGAATTTTTTCCCCAACCACTTTATTTTCCTGGATTTTGGAGAAGTTATTTTTGGATTTTAAAGGGTAGTTTTACTGGCTGTCAAACTTTACCTTGCTTTCAGAAAGAGATGAAAACCTTAGGGGTATTCCCTAAACACGACTTCCAGTGCTTGAAGTGCTGTTTATGGAACATGTATCCAAGACATGGAAGGCTTTATTTGATAATGGGAGATCTGGACTGCTGAATGGCTGCAAAGCCAGTTTCTTTTATTGAGTCAAGCCCTAAGGTGATCATATTTTCAATATAACAATGAGTTAATTTATCCTCACTGGGCTATGGGAATTTTTTTATAGTACCATATATGCTGCATCTGGTACACAAGCTTATTAAAGCTGTGGTTTAAATGAATTGTAATGTTACCCATGCAGCCTGGAAAAAAAAAAAAATTAAAACCCAAACAAATCTATCACAGAACAATGATACTGCCAACTTATTTTACCATTTGGAGACCAAATCTTAAAACCAAGAACCATCCCCAAATCCTCTTGTCTGAACAAGCCATGATCAAATTATTTTTTTTTCTCTGTTAGATCATCAGCGTTGAAAGTGTTCTACTTCATTAGCAAGAACAAGCTATTTAGAGAAACATGAATCACAGAAGTCATACGATTCTGATTTATTGTTTGTCAAATATGTAAAAATCTACACTTATCAGCACTTTCTACTCAAAAATATTCTCAAACTAGACTGTAATTTCATACTGCCTATTAATGAAAGCTATTTCATCTTCATACTACAGCCTGGATGACCACTACTGACAGGATTTCAGGTCACAAACAGAGCTTACCTTGGTAGTATATGTATGTCCATCAGATCCACAGACAGCGCTGGCATGCGTCATGGGGCAAGGCTTGCATTTCACTATGTTAGCTGGTCCAGCCCAGTGCTTCTGGGCCAAGTTTCCTTTCTTTTGTCGAAGGCTGTAAAAGAAGAGACATCAGGTTTTTCTTGAACATGCTCATATAAAATGGAAGAATGAAAACTTCTCTGAATACAGCAAAGCTGGATTTTCAACACACTATTAATTTAAAGCAAGTAAATTAAATATGGCTCCTAACAATGCTTCTATAACATGGTACATTACAGCAGGCAATCTAGAAAGTCATAAATTGGTAGGCAGCCCTAGATTTACAATACTTGGCAGCTTCATTTTGATTTCTAACTACAAATGACTTCACTTACGAATATAGCATTTTGTTGAACTACACAGCATTTCTGGTGAAGCAGGCAAGTAACAGTACATCAGGTTGTATTTAGAGACATTTTCACCAGGCCTCCTCCAAGTTGCTGTTAAGGTAGCAACAATTTTAAAACAAAATCCTTTGAAAAACACTGCAATTTATATTATGCTTATAAAAATGTACAAAATCACCAAACAACTTTGTCACTGTACGTGCAGTAGCCCTCTCTACATGCCAGCTACTGAACAGCTTTTCTTCTCAGATCAATCACAGTCCCCCTAGGAATGCTATAAAGTGACAGACAGCATCTCCAAATCTACAAATGCATTTATACTGTGGGAGTGACTGCAGTTGTCCTCAAGTCATGCACTACTCAATTATTGCATTAAAAATGTCTATGAAAAAGACATCTGCTCCAAAAAACTTATTGCAAAACATGTGCAATTGATTCTGATTAATAGCTCATTTTCCTGTCATAATGAACCACTTGACTGATACGACATTAAGTAATTATCACCAGCCTACTGTTGTAAGCTGATTAAACGTTTGCTTTAGAAACCACAAGTCAATGTTACAATGCAGATTCATTTTGGCCATGTGTACTTGTCTTTCGCTTGAAAGCATTTACAAGGGAAGGCAAGGCATCGCATCAGCGTTGCTGGAGACTGTTAAGAAAAATAACTGCCATCTGTTCTCATACCACAGTAAAAAAAGATATAACAGTTCAGCTAGAAATACATTTCAGTGTGCCACTGAATGACTTCATCACAGTTTTAGAAAAATATATACAGATATTTTTTAAAGCAATTTCACTACAGCTTGCAATTTGCTACACAATACTGACTCTGATGTAATGACACATTCAGCTGCTAAAATAATAAAAATTCTATTCTTTCATCTCGGTTCTAGTTTTCTTCAGGTCTAACCTTTTTCACAGTGATGACTAGTGCTATTAAGAAGCTTGTGTCCACAGAAGGAATCCAATCATGATACCATAAACTATGAAAAGAGAAGCCTAGTATTTAAGACTAAATTCCCTTATTATTTTGAAGAAGTTTTCTTAACGCACAGAGCAGCTTTCTCTCTCTCAGATGCACTCTGCCTTGCAGAGTTACCATTGTATCAGGTACTAAATGCTGCAGATGGGCGGTTGCTTGGCTCTGAGCCCCCAAATACAACTCCACAGACATGCTCTGTTATGCCGGGGCTGTACAAACCATATATTCAAATCTTCCGGAGTAACTGACTTTTCTGCAGCACCCTTGCCTCCAACAATGCTGTGTTACTAAAATGTAACGATTACCTTATTTTCTCAAACTGTTTTGATTACAGGCCTGCCTTTTGTTTTTTCAGCTTGATGAGAAAGTTTCCTTGTTTGCTTTACTTACAGCCCTGCACTTCTAGAAATGTACAAACTGAGAGTCAAAAATATGTTTGATGTAGTACTGTAGATACTGATGAGCTGAGACTGGAGACAGATGTGAAAGGTGCTGTGCTTCTCCTTTGGAGACTGCAGAAGAATAGATCATGGCATAAAGCAGACTTTCTACCTTTTCACAGACTTTGATTTCCACCCGTCTCGATACGCAAAATTGTTAAGAAGAAAGTTTTAGGATTAGTTATAGAAAAACAGCTAAGAAATGCTAAACTTGAAGCATATGATTTAGTGCCATCGTCATCAAAGCCATTAGCCACAAAGCACGCAGGATGGAGATGAGTGATTGAACTAATGAGCACCTCATCGAAATTAAATGTAGATTGAAGTTCTTAGATAGACTGATGCCTAAAAAAAAAAAATAATCAGAGGATCTTGAGGGTCTGAGTGGCAAGTATAAAATACGTTGTACAGCATTTGTGGACCAAACCACATGCAGGCATTTCACACTATAACCTTAAAAGAAAAATCCACTCTGGACATGGCTACTTGTCCCTCTCTGCATAGCCTTACACCCCCTCTGCTCTTAATTTCTTTAATCCTGCCACAGTCCCTTCAAGATTCATACCGCAAAGCCAGTTTCTATTGGAAGATTCTTCTGGAGCTAATAACGTTTTCCATTCTCCCATCCTCACTTAAAAAAATTATTAATTTGTCCATTTTGAGTCATTTAGGAGCTCATCAAGCCTGCTGGCCCTTTCCATCACTTTATTGAGAGTAACAAGAACATGCACAGCCCTCGGCCTAAGCTCTGCTCTCACTGCAGCTGCCTTGAAGCCAACAGCAAGCCATGTGTGGAAAAGCAGAGCCCCCGCCTTAGCGAGGGACTATAACGGTTCCACCTCAGCCTGATTTGCAGCCTTTCCCTTACAGGGGCTGAAGGAAACATTCATCTTCAGGATCTTCTTTTGATAGCAGGAGGAAATTTATTCTCTCAAAGAGAGTGATATTTAGTAACAAGAAGAATTCACAGCGGACTACATCTCAAAGCACTCTATTCTTTTAAAAAGAAAAGGTTAGCAATTTTAGTAGCACTTCATATAACGTGCGTAACAAGGCAGGGGGTTGCTGCAAGAAACCTGCAGCAATCCTGACTTCTGCATGTGTGAGGTAACTGGCAGCACAGGGCAGCGGCCATTTTGGTTGCAAGAAAAAAAAATAATCTAAGTTTCAAAAATGAATATATTCTTCCAAAGCTACAGTTTTGTCAGACACAGCAGTAGAAAATGACACTGTATTTGAAGTAAGTAAAAAATAATTTTTGTCAGCTTGGCCAAGTGAGGAATAGCTGAAAGTTTTAACTGGATACCCAGATTCCACACCCCTGCCAAAAATATAGGTAAGCACCTGTTTCCTAGGGAGGACATCTATTTTCCAAAAGTAAACATGTACTTTTCTGGAGTGATATTTTGAGAGGGTGGATAAGACTTCCGGAAGCTTTTCAATCCTATAACCCCTAACAACACATCAAACATCCAAACAAACAAGTTAAAACCTAGACAAGAATATCGGCTGCCATAAGCAGCCAGCCAGCAAATCCCTTCTCAATGGAAGTGCACATTCACACACTCTGGGAACATGTTTTGCTACTAATCATCTTGGTTTAGACTAAACATGTCAGGAGCAAGCCAGGCCAAAGCAAATTAGGACTTTTTTTTCTTTTCCTAACAACTTAACCAACTTTAATCCTGCTTTAAGACTCAGAGTTGGAAGGATCTACTACAAATCATTAGAAAATAACAACTGTGCAGAAAGAACAAACCAGAAACTCCCCACTGGGGTAAAAGTCTAGCACATTTATAAAGATGAGAGGGACAAGTATTTTCAGTATTCCAGAAGCAGATAAACATGAATGCCTTGCTCAAATATTAAGACTTACAGGCAAACTCTGCCTGCTTTTGCTTTTCAGGCTGGTGAACTGATGCACCAAAAGGCACAAGATTTAAGGAGTACTTAAGTTTTACAGAATTCAGCCTCTTAACATTTTAATGCATAAAGAAGTTTTAGTGGTTTAAAACATTCACACTTCAACACAGGGAGAATGTACGCTGACTCAACTTCATTACTCATTACGCAGACATACTACTTACCACACACTGAGAAAATACAGGGAGACTACATCTGTTTTGCTTGCACAGAAACACGGAGAATACAGCAGGGTTTCCCAATGCCATCAGCCAGATGCCAGGACCATGGGCAGTAGCTGTGATCAGCCACACTGCACAGCCTGCTCCAAAGCCACAAACACCTGCACTTCAACACAGGTCTTCCAGGCACAAAGCTTTGGCCCTGGACAAAGGGAGCTCAAAGGTTCTAGGAAAACTGGCTCCATCCAACATTTTAAGGCTTCCAGGTGGGCACTGGGGAGCCAGAAGCTTAGCCCTGATGAGAGCTGATGAGTGCAGCTGGCAGCTTTGCCCCAGCTGGCAGCCTCAGGGATGTGAATTCCCCAACCTCTTCCCACCTGGCTGGTGACTTAGGGCTGCTCCTGGCCTGGAGACAGCCTGCTAGCAGGGTTTGAACACTGCCTTTGATTCAGCAAAAATTCATCAAACCCAACACCTGAAACAAAACATCTCACATTGAATCGTATTTTTTCCAAAGAATCCACAGCCTTAATTCCTGACCAACTCTCTGAGTGGTTGATATGGGCTGTGCTGTTTGGGGATCTCTGCATCTGTGCTTATAACAATTCTCTCCAGCACAGCACAGAAGAGCATATACAGAAATAACCTCTGGCAAAGCCAGAGGCCAAAATAAAGTCACTTGTACAAAAATTATGTTTTGTTTATTTACATTTACGATTTGTTTCATTTACATTTAATTTTAAATTTTACAAGGTCCTAAAATGATGAATAATTTCATTTTTATTTGCCTTGAAAGACTCTTGGAAAAACTGAATTTTAAAATATTTTAAAGTAGCATTTTTAAAAGGGAATGATTTATCTCTTAGGGTGAAACCTGGAGGGCATCACCACAGAGCATCACAACCACAACATAGGAAGTGAGAATGGATGTGAAATGGATAAGCTTAGTTTCACTCAATACTTACTTCCAAACTATTGCACAAAGTTCATTTTCTTACCATTTACTGAACTAATTGATAGTTTTTAATTAATTCACTTACTGAGAAGACAATGATCTCTTAGTTTCTGCTCTGCAGCTTATTTCTCTTGTTGATGGAGTCTCTAGGTGAAGCTGTGGTGAATATAGTGTGATGTGATTAGGTGGTCTATAAAGACATGAAATTAAAAACAGGACCTTGTAAATTTGATACAGAATGTGCAAATTGAGAGTATCAGTG